AGTGAACAAAGGAACAAATGACGCTGCTGAAGACGTGTCACCTGAAAAAGCCACTGTTGAAGAAGAAACTTTACCTGGTTTTAAGAAGGAAAACAGTGAAGCCGTTAATGAAGTTACTACCACTGGTGTGACTGTTACCGATAATGGAACATTTCCTGATGGAGCATATGAACCCCACGTGAAGCATAAGCCAACGAGACGGAGAACAGTACGGAAGAAGATCTGTCCAGTAAAATTAAGAGACTTTGTTGTATTTTAACGTTGTGTTTGTAAATTCTGTACATTTAATTAACTTATTGTTAATTATCTATTGGTTTAATGTAAGTGGCTATCGTTTGGGACGAACAACACTAAGGAAGGGTAAGTGTTACGACAGCGGAATTAACTAGACGCTACTGGCACATACGTGACTGAGTTTCTTGAATTATCGGGGAAGTCTGCGAATTTTGGAGATGCCTCTTTATTGGTATATAAGTCTGGCAGGGAACAGCTAGGGGATGAATAATCGAACAGTACTAACGGAGAGTTTCGGGTAATTTACGATTCTGTTTCGAGCTAGTGTGTGTTTTTCACTCGTAGAAAGCGAAGTTATCGAAGGTAGTGAATCGCTGTGATTTACAGCGTGTAGTTGTTAAGTTTAAAGTGACGAGAAACGTACTGACTGTGGAATTACCGTGTGCTAAAAGTTTGTACCGAGAAAGAATAAACTGGTTTAATCAAGAAATAACTTGTATTGCTGAAGTTCCTCGGAAATAATTTATACCGGAAATTAACAAACAAGCAGATACGTAACAATATATTCACTTGTTGTTACTTTTTGTGTCTTTTATTCAAAATATATTCACTTTTTGGTACCTACTTGTGTGTTTTTGGAAATACAAATAATGATTAAATGACGGTGTTTTTTTATCTTTTTGATGTTTGAAAGGTATATTTTGAAAATTTTTTAGTGCAAACAAAAGTTAACCACTTGATTATTTTGAGGCACCTAAAGGTATATGAAAAAATGATCTCTTGGACCTTTTGTGTTTTTGCGAAATGTGTATGAAAGCTGACGAAAGGTACATAAAAAGTATGACCTTCTCACCACCTTTTGTTGACATCAAAAGATGTCTTTTCACGCAGTGACTCTTTCAGAAAAAGTGCTTTTACGGTCTTGAGGCATCTCTCGACTTGCCAGTAGAAAAGATTACCTTTTTTGGTATCACATATTTCAGCCACCTTTTCTTCTAGACAGTTCCTATAAAATCCTAATTGTACGACCCAGTTCCGTGTGTAACTAGGGTGAGATGTATTTAGATGCTCCTTTGACTAAACATACTCTTATGCACAATTTTTATTTATATTTTGCATATAAATTAACGGGGTAGAAAACGTATGGTATGTCTGCATGTCACATAGCTCCGTAACACAAGTTACTCTTATTACTTCGTATATAGTGCAGTAACACGTTACCTTTAGCTCATGGTAACTATGTATGCAGTGTAGTAACACCAGTTATTCTTAGGTTGACGTTTATAGAGATTACAAACATATAAAAATCATATGGTAAGACTAAAAAATAATAAGGCTTGTAAACACTAGACTTGTGTAATAAGATTGACAGAACAATTTCACGATACAGAGTTTTAACACATTGCTGTAATAAGACAAAGAAAGAAACAATGATAGAGAGTTTTAACACATTGGTCTTAGGTAATAAGACGAAGAGAGAAAAACGATACTGGATTATAGTCGTGGTAGGAAGAAGAGAACAGAGTGTCGTGAACACAATATTTTCTTATAATGACACCAAGAGAGAGAGAGAGTAGAACATCGAGAAATATAAAGCCTCATGTAACACGTCAGAGAAATATCAGAATAAGGGATTATAAACAAATCAATGTATTCAAGTAACTCGAATAGCACAGAATAAAAGCTATATAAACACATTAGTCTCTAATAAAACTAAGATGTAAGAAATAAAGGGTCACAACCTTAGTCTCCTGTAAAAAAGATGAAGAGAGAATAGAAGATTATAACCATGCCAGAATCATGAAGAAAGGACAGAGAATAGAGGATTATAACCATTCTAGAATCATGTAAAAAGGATGAAGAAAGGACAGAGAATAGAGGATTATAACCATGCTAGAATCATGTAAAAAGGATGAAGAAAGGGCAGAGAATAGAGGATTATAACCATGCTAGAATCATGTTAAAAGGATGAAGAAAGGACAGAGAATAGAGGATTATAACCATGCTAGAATCATGTAAAAAGGATGAAGAAAGGACAGAGAATAGATGATTATAACCATGCTAGAATCATGTAAAAAGGATGAAGAAAGGACAGAGAATAGAGGATTATAACCATGCTAGAATCATGTAAAAAGGATGAAGAAAGGACAGAGAATAGAGATTATAACCATGCTAGAATCATGTAAAAAGGATGAAGAAAAGAACAGAGAATAGAGGATTATAACCATGCTAGAATCATGTAAAAAGGATAAATAAAGGACAGAGAATAGATGATTATAACCATGCTAGAATCATGTAAAAAGGATGAAGAAAGGACAGAGAATAGAGGATTATAACCATGCTAGAATCATGTAAAAAAGGATAACAGGATGGGGATTAGAAACATTTTGTTCGCAAGTAAGACGAAAATATAGAGGAGAAAATACTACGGACACATTTGTAACATAAATAAGTGGACGAGACACATTTATATAATAAGAGGAATAAAGAAAAGTATGTTGGATTGTAAAAGTCTCGGATATTATAAATACGATACTTAGTGCGTTATAACAAACAACTTGGGGTAAGGGATTCTAAATACATTAGTCTTGTGTAGTAAGAAGACGAGACCCCCAAGTGGCACACTCGTATGTCTGCGGACTTACAACGCTACAAACCGAGTATCGATACCCGTGGTGGGCAGAGCACAGATAGCCCATTTTTAGCTTTGTGCTTAACTACAAACAAATATATATAGGATTATCAAACAGAATTACAAACAAAC